GTAGTGTTGAGTCGATGGGCAGTGCTGAGTCTATGGTGCAGTGCTGAGTCTATGGGCAGTGTTGAGTCTATGGGCAGTGTTGAGTCTATGGGCAGTGTTGAGTCTATGGGCAGTGCTGAGTCGATGGGGCAGTGTTGAGTCGATGGGCAGTGCTGAGTCTATGGGCAGTGCTGAGTCTATGGGCGGTGCTGCTTAATGTACAGGGGAAGTTGATTCCAGTGGAGGGGTATAAGGAGGGAGAAGTACTGAACACGGGATTGGGCACAGGGAGGAGGGAGGGACGGAGAGAGACAGAGAGAAGATTTGGATTGAAGAGCACGAGGGGGACATGGAAGGAGATGAGTGAGGCATCATCATCATCTGTCCCTTCCAACTGCTTATTAACAAATACATTTCCACGATGATGGATCACTTTTTTTCTCCAGTATTTCTGTTTTGTTTCGTGTCACAATCCTTTCTCTTTTCATCGCCAAGTACGAGATGCTGACGAGGCTCATCCCAGAACGCATCTGCTGTCCTCCCCCCCCCGCACCTCCGATTAGCACGGTTGGCTGCGTACGGTGTTAGGAGTTATAAGTGAAAGAAGTCCAACATACATGAAGCACTGCAATTTTCTGACCTTGGCTTTGTGCAACGAGGTCGTTTTCGCTTCTAACTCCGAACGCCGATGGGTTTGCGTCTTGTCAATTGAAGTCCTCTGTGCTCTGATCCCTCTCAAAGCAGGGGCCCGTGCCTGCACGGGGAGTGGTACATTAGGTTTTTCCTTTTCCTGCAGTCAAGTGTTGCGCAAAAATTATGTTGCGATTCCCAAGTGTAGGAGGATTGCGAAAGTTGCCACTGGGTTCTAAATGAAGAAAGTTTAATTGAATTTTGCATTTTTCCATATTTGTCTGTTATGATCGTCAGTACCACAAAATTGTAAAAAAAAATTCCACATTGAAATAGCCAAACATAATTGGAAGTTTAAAATATCGTACTTCTCATGCTGTTCTGCATATTTTTTTTTAAAATATCATCATCATGAGTATCATTAACACCATCATTGTCATCGCAGTGATCATCATGATCGTGTATCGTCAGCTTTATCATCGCCAACATCATCACAATCGTCGTGACGATCACCGCCTTCGTTGATCCTTGTCATTCCGCCCGTCGATCGTAAATCAAACCAGTGCAGGACCCTTGGAGCCGCTCCATTAAGCTCTGCACAGCTTATTTATTCTCGTCCATTAAAAAAAACATATCCAACGCCTACAACAATAACCACGGCTGGCCTTTGTTTGCTCAGCTCATCGACTCTGTACAGGAATGCCCAGGGATTCGATGGGGCGCCCAGACTGGGCACGTGACCCGGTTATCGGATCCTCGCTCACTCAGCCATGCGTGGCAGGTGCAGCGCGAGGCCGGGAGAGAGCTGTAAGTCAGCTCTTTTAATTTTTTAATTCATTAGTTCATTCCTTTGGTTTCATTCAATGCCCTCTACTCATCCAGTGAGAAGTGTAATGGTGTAATTTAGCTTTTTTTTTTAAAAGAAGGCTTTCGTAACCATTCATACACCGCTATTTCTTTGGGTTGTACTGCGTCTTGTTGTTTGGCATGAATAGTCATTGCAACTCAAATATTCAGGTCCTCACGAAATCCCAGCATGTGGAGTGAAACGTCGGACATGGTGTGCAAACATTGTGTGGTGAAACCTGAAAACCCATCGTCGGAGAGCCGTGCAGCTCAACCGCGAAAACTTACGCAAGAGCGTTCATATTTCTTTTGAGAGCAAACTTGTGTGCGAATATCACGTTTCTCGGTGTTTTCATTGAGAGCAGTATCACACTATAAAGTGTGATTTACAGCTATGCAAGTCTTTATGCCCTTTTCCGGCTCTAAAAAAGGGATATGGTGCGTAATGTGAGCCTCTGAAATATCAGTCACTTATACGGCCGTGCTAATGACGGTGGTCGTGAGATTTTCCTCTCACCTCCATAACTGTAGTTGGGGAGGGGGCGAGTAAATTTGCAGCACAGTGATTTGCGCACGACACTGTGGGTGACCTGAGTTCAATTCCCAGCCCTGAATAATGTCTCTGAACTGGTCCTGCATCCCTCCGCTGTTCAGCAGTTGTGGTGAGGGATGGCCAACAGCCCCCATGACCGACGTGATGTGCGGGGAGGCTTTCAACCAGCGGTAGATTGGCAAATGGCCGTATGTTGTTATTTGTATAACTCTGACAATGTATAAGATTTGAGTAAAACAAATGTTTTAGTGTAGTGTACAACTTGAGACGTGGTATCCGTTACCAAGTCGCCCTGTTCCACTCGCGTGAACGTCGATGTCACAGGGGGGTCGTGTAACGTCCACCTTACGGCAGACACACGGGGCTGTGTTTGCATTTCGACAGCGTCAAACGATTGTCTCTCAGCACAGATGCAATCGCCGGCCATACCATACCAGGTTTCACCTCTTGTCTCCTAACCCCCAACCGCCTCTCGTTAATAAGAGCGGCGTTTCTCAAGTGGATTTTTTTATGTCGGTGTCAAGAGGGTCGGTAAAAAACGGTTTGCGAGCGAGGTGTTAAAAGTATAAAAAAATCACACCAGTGGCTAACTCATTACATTATTTAACATTGCGCTCACCTCTGTCAATATGTTATCGCAAATTAGTAAACTGTTTTTTTTACCGGGAGATGAAATTTCAAAGTAGCAACTGGGTTGCACGCGGATGCCATTGCTTTAAAATAAACTTATAAAACACGCAAGACGTAACACGCTGTCAACCAGTTGACTTCGGAGTTGGCTTGCTGGAATGCTTCACGATGCTAACTGTGTTCCAGCGCTCGCCGCCAACGTTCGTGATACGATCGAAAAATTAACGCCGCACGAATTTTAACAGATTAATTTGACTCGAAACCCAACTCGCTAACACGTGCTCTGTCAGCACACGGATTTTTTTTGTCCTTTTTCAAGAATTGTTAACGAGGACAGTGGGTGTTGAATTCGAAGTAAAGCAGATGCAAGACTGCTGGCGGCAGGGGAGGGGGGGTGTTCGTGGGGCGGTTAGTTTGTGCGTGATTAACGGTGCTGCTGAGAGCCCACACGAGACAAAGGTCCCCCCCCGTAAAGTCTTTACAGACCTTTTGAGGCAAGTGCTGTTAGCGAGCACCTGTGAAGGTCAGCACGGCACACTCGGGGTGGTTGGTCAGCACCACGCCCGACCGCTTTTGTCTCCCCAGTGGCGATGTTTACAGCACCGCACCAGGTACTCGCTTGAGGCTGAGTCGACCTAGGGGATGCCCAGGACCCGTTAAGATATTCGCCACCGGTGCTGGCCGTGAGTCGGAACCGATCTCGCGTTGCCGGGCTCATGAAACGTAACGCGAACCGCTACTCTACCGCTGCCCTTAAAAACCCGCGCAAACATACACCCAGCTCACACGAGCCGCCTTGCAAACCGTCCATCAAATTGCAACCGCCGAGGGCGCTTCAGTGCAAATCTGGGGCCCCTTGACCGATTCGATCAGCGTACCGCCACGACGCCAGTTGTACAAAAACGTCCGACCTGAAATGTGTGTGCGCAGCGCAGCGCGATGTTTTTTTTATTATATTTTGCACGTACGGTACGGTGACGCCACCGGCGTATAAGTTGCGTCTTTTCCTTTTCGACTGAAGGGGGCAACGTGTGAACATTGCCCGGTTAAGCAGAAGTAACGAGGCGCCGGCGGCTTCGAGGCGCAACGTTTTTTTGTTGTCACGAGGCGACGGCGTAAACCGTGTGCATATTTCATCAACAAACCATTACATCTTAATCCAATTAGCGTGGCATGTGGATAGACGTTTGTGTTAACTTTGGCCCCAATGTCCACATGGTAGTGTTTAGGTTTGTTAATGCTCTTGGCATCGTTCCAAGGTGGGAAAGTTAAGCTTTTTAGAATTTAGATTCAAATGCTACCCTGCCCGCACCACCCCCCCCCCCCCCCCTCTGTTTTTGAAGCAGCACCACTTACAAAGCAACGTAATGATGCCTTCCCCCATTTAAAATTACGCCCTCGGCGCGTGCCGCTGCTGCCTTCGCCTCACTCCCAGGGCGTTTTGACAGACGACCGCGAGGCTGCCCCGCCTCGGAGCTTGCCACCTGCTCTGTGACTGCCACCTGCACACACTTAAGGCTGCCACTTGAACACCCCCTTGGCATAACTGCGGCGGAAAATGTTTACAATTTGTCTTCTTTTTTTGCGCGTACGGTACCGACCGCGGCGCCTCTCCACACACCGCGTTCGTTCGACAACGTTAAAATTTGCCGTCGCCCCCCCCCCCGCTCCCACACAGCTCCTGCATGGAGGCGTGGGGACGAACTGATCGCTTGTGGCCATAAACCGCCAGTTTTTCCCTGTCCCGTCACAGCAGCGGGGATTTGCCGTTGGCCTTCGCTTGGCACCTCTGTCCATTGGCAAAGTGCCCAATGAAAGCTTTCGGGGCAGTAAAAGCAACCAATAGATCTGTGGTGCGCCTCCGATTAGCACGGTTGGCTACGTACGGTGCGAGAGAAGTTCAACATTACACACGCGCACGTGCGTTTTCGGGGGGGGTTGTGCCGTGCATCGTTCAGTACGACCGTCCGACTTTTCGCTCCGCGTGCCGGGAGTTTATTCAGGTCCTGTTTTCCCAAAGGAGCTCCCAGTTTCTTAATTTGTCCGTGCCACTTCCTAAACAGAGCTGGGTTTGTCACCGCCACGTGTTGTACCACCCCGACATGTTGCGGTGACGGCCCAAAAGCACGCAAGGGAGCTCTACGGCACGGCCGTGAAGACACCTTACGCGGGTTGTAAAAGCAACAGAGTGTTTCCTGGAATGTCCACGCAGTGTTCGTGACTGCCTTAGACCACTAAGCAGTCTCTTGTGTGTTTGGTTTATTGTTTTAATGTTTCATTGTGGGGTCGTAAGGTTATACCAAAAGTTGTTATGAGATACAAGGTCACGGTGGCTGTAAAGAGCGAGGAGAGATTGAAGTCATCAGTTGGGTCTATTATCCAAAGTTTTATTTACAGTGAGCATTAAAATGATAAACATTTTAACAAACATCTTTCGTAAAAAATGTCCGTATAACAACATTTTAATGCAGGAACAAATGAGAGAAACTGAACGAAACAAATTACAAAGTTAAATACTGTTGCTTCATACCTGGTAAAAATGCCATCTTAAATCTATAAAAAAAAGTGAAACAAAAAAAGATAATAAAAATAATATTAATTTTATATATTTTTTTTACGTAGCAGCCGATAGACAGGCAGCACTTCATACTTGACCAGCAGCAAAAAAAAAACACGTGAGAAGGAGAGGTTACAACATTCGTCTATAAACACTAAAGCAACGGTGGCGAGACGGTGCCAGTCCCACTGGACACTTGCAAAACTAGAGCGCTTCCGTGGCCCTCCAACCCCCCCAAGCCACAGCGACCGCGGTGCCTCTCCACACACACCGCATTCGTTCGACAGCGTTCACGCCCCAGCATTTCACACCAGGGTCCCTTTGTGACAGCTATTCACCTACGCTCCCCACAGAAGCCCGGCAGCAGGACGCTGTGTTCCAGTTTAATTTGTTCTCAATTAAGAGAGGGTGGGGGGGGAAGGAGGGTGGGGTGGCAGGGGTGGAGGCTTTGTGAGGCAGGGGGCTGGGGTGGGGGGACAGGAGATGGTGGTTTACGGTTTTGAAAAATGTTCGAGAAATGCGCGGGGTTTGAACTCGAGCGGTCCCGCTGGCGGAAGAAGCTGGGAGAGTTTGGAGGAGCTTGAGTAGCGTGGCGAAGGAGGGGGTCGGCAAACGCGGTGTGGTGGTGTGGGGGGGGGGGGCGCTTCATTTGGCGTCCGCTCTGGGACGCGTTGACGTTCTGCCCGGAACACTCGCGGGCGGGGAGAGAGCCCCACGGTACTTGACGGTGCTCTCCTCCAAACCGCAGCGCGCAGAATCCTTCAGCCCACCCGCCAGCTCACTCGCCTGCGCAGTCCCTCACTCACTAGTTCGCTCGCTGGCACACCGTAGAGAGAGGAACGATCCACAGTCGGAAAGCATCGTGGCGTCTGCGAGTTGATGCGCAGCCTCACAAAAATGCTCTCTGGTGCCTGCCGTTTTATTTTTTATTTTTTCTATAAGCGTTTGGTTTTTATTGCCCCCGTTGACGGTTGTTTGGTGGTTGAAATTTTTCTTCTTTTGTTGTTGTTTTTGTCACGCTTCATCGCACGCGCATCACCAGGACCTTGCGCTCCGCGTGTCTGCTGCCTCCTGTTCGCTCGTCACGAAATCCCCGCTGCCTGTGAAGCACATCGAAGGGCACGCGCGCCAGAGTTAGATTGTTGGCGTTTAGTTTTTCTGACATGTTTATTTTGTAAACCAAAGATCAGCCGCGGCAAGTGCCGCACAGCAGCAACTGAAACACAATTCCCAAAAAGTAAACCGGCGTGTTTTGAAAAGGGGTTTTTTCCCCCCCTCTAATCTGACCATGACCTAGAGGCCTGCAGTGGTTTGCTGTGTCGACTTGCGCCCCTCCCCTGCCCTCCCTTCTCCCCACTCTGCCACCGCACAGCGCTGGCAAGGTCCCGTCGCTCGTAAAACAAACCTCGGTGCCCTCCCCCCCACTGCCAGTGCAATGCAGCTCCACATTCCCTCCGCGTTAATCCACACTTACACCGTTCCTTTTGTACGTTGCTCACAATTGCTTTGCCCCACGTGTGAAGCCGCACCAAAGTGCTTCAGAAGCTAGTGACTAATCTGCTGGCCGTGGCCACGCTCACACGATTGGTGGTGCTGCCAACATTGATAAGGGGGGGGGGGAGGCGGGCGGCGACAAAGTCGGTAGGCTGCGCGCTGCAGAAGTAGCTCGCTTGTTATTTTATTGCCTCTGGTGTCGCACATCCCGGTGAGAATGTGGCTCTAGCATCTGTTTCTTATCGTTGCTGAGCCCGGGTCGTCCGACTGGTGTTTGTGACTGATGCCCACGAGCAGGGGAAGGGGAAAGGTTCCGTTGGGTTTTGGTAGCGCAGAGGGGGAGGGATCGATGGCCTCAACTGTGCGAGAGAATTGTCGGGAGCTCTGGAAACAAAAGCGACCGGGTTGCCGCTCGCCAGGTTATGCAGAAGGATGTTGCTGAAGGACTGGTGAATTACATGCCCCCCTCTGCGTGTGCCGAGCCTGCGTGTGCGTGAGTGCGCGTGCGTTCGACTGTGTGTGCGTGTGTGTGAGAGCGTGGCGGTGTTGCCCACCCACGTGCACGCCCCCCCGATCCTCAGTGCCGTCAAGCGCCAAAGTGGCTCCTTTCATGCAAATGATTTGCACCCAGCGCGAACGAGACCCGCCCGGAGAGTGTGGCTACCCGCCAGTCGGCTCTCTTCTCCTAGCAACGTCGACGTTAATAAAAAAAAATCCAAGATCAATTGTCGGAGTTTAACTTCTGGAATTAACGTTTGTCCAAAGGGGTAGATATCAAGGTGAGCCTCTCTCGCGTCTCAGCTCGGCAACTTTAGCTTATCTCCCTGTTTTCACCGAACTTCACGATCGATTTCGAGGGCGATCCCCAGCTGTGCGGTAATGGAATTGCCCAGAAAGATAGCTCTTTATGATGTGGTACCCAGGTGGGAGTCCAATGAGACCAGAAGTGGTTTTTGTCAAGGCCCTGGCAGACCGTGTTATCATGCGACCACTGATTTAAGCGACTGATCGTTCACGAGGTCACCCAAAAGTCCGCAATGCAGGCTGCAGAAGCCGGCTTAATGCCGCTTGAGGTCTGCTGGCCACAGTGCTGGGCGACACTGAGCGAGCAGTGGCCGCTCGTGCTGTCACCTTAATTGTGTGGTGGTGGTGGTGGTGGGCAGACTTCCCTGACACTGACAAGGTAAACTGGTTTCGTTAGGGCCCCTGGTCTGCACAGTGGGATTTCGTGACTTTCATTGGTGTCACCTGCAGATGGTTCGCCGCAAATGGTTTCCATTTACAAGATTTTACTAGGGTGATTTGTTTTATTTACTTAATGCCACGGAAGATGAGGCTAAGGTAAATACAGTGTGTAGTTCACTGATCCTGAAAAAAGGATGAATGAACGATTGAAAGTCTATAAATATAGTTAAGTTATTGAGTGGCAGTGCAGGCAATACCACCCAACAGTGTGTGTGTGTGTGAGTTGACTGGATGCACATTGCGAGTGCCAGCACATGCCTCTGCATCTGTCTGCTCTTCATATGAAAGTGTTTCCACGTAGACCTGTCAGCTGACTGAGTGGTACTGTGCTCCTGTGGTTGCGTGATGCTCCTCTGACCGCATTGTAAAACCAAAACCGCATTTTGACAGAAGAGCAGGCTGTGGAATGTGACTTGTCTGAGCATTAACCGCCTATTGATAGGGGCGTTGCTTTCATTGAAAGGAAAAGAGAGCCAAGCAAACGAAAACTAAACAGTTTTTTTTCTTCATTTAATTGGTGGGTGACCCAATTGATGGCTTTTGAAGTATTAATACACTTTGTGTGTGTGTATGTACATGTAAATGTTGCACAGTCGTGCAAATGCATACACCCGCGTACACTGGGAGAACTGCTACAGGGTGAGCTCTCGTAGAGGTTAATTCCATGGCCATGACCCCGCTGCCACTTCCAATTTCCTGGCCCTAGCCGTCAGTATGCACAGTGGCAGGTGTCGAGGTCATCTCGCTCAGCACAGGTGTACAGACTGTGCTACACTGATGCAGGTGGGAAGATGAAGTGAGTACGTGCAGCTGTGTAAACACGTCGCGCTGTGCGTGAAGCGTGTGGATTTTAGTGATCGTGTAAAGCCATGCGGATCGGGCGATTGTGTCGAGAGATGTGCAGATTGGATTGGATGAATAGGTGTCAAGGTATGTATGTAATTCCCCATCTCGGATGCACAGAGACACAGCTTGAATGTGCACAGGTGTTGGGGCCAGGTGTACGGTTCCAATGTACAGACACGATTATACAGACATGCGGGTGGCCAAGGTACATGTACACGTCGGCGTATACTGCATGGGTGCAGTGGGGCCAGTAGTGACCTGCTGCAACTAATGATATGGGACCCCCCCCCCCCCCACCACATCAGGCCCTGGGTGGGCCGCGGTGCGATAGCCACGCCACGGCTGTATGAACACATCAGGTGGACAGCAACAGTTGTCGTCTGTGTGCGTACGCGTGCGTGCGTGCGTGCACGCGTTACCGTGTGGGTGTGGAGCAGTCGGTGCCGCCGCCGCCGCCGCTTAAATGGGTCCCCTGCCGTTGAGAGACGGGCGATTCCACGAGTGCAAGGTTTGCTGCGGCGTCCTGTGGTTGCACCTGTGCCTCTGGTGCTGCTGCTGGTGCCGGTGCTGGTGCTGCGGGTAGAATCCCTGGTGCGGGTGATCGCGGCACCGCGGCCTGTGCTGGTGGCGCCGTGCGTGGTTCGACGCGCTTGCGTCTCTCGCCGCGGCCTTGGCCTGCGGCCTTCTGCCCTCCATTATCGATGAGAAGATTGACGTCGCTGCTGACGATGACGACGACCGCGACGGCGATGAGTGCGAAGACGACGACGACGACATCTGGAGACCGTGCTGGAAGGTGTCTCTCCTTTTCCGCATGACTCCTGTTAAAAGCGAGGCAGTGTCAGGAGGTGTTTGTTTAGCCGACCCATCGCGGGAGCAGATTCACACTCGTGCAAGTCAATCGGCGAAAACCACATTACACAGTGGTTCACTCAACGTTCCCACGGGGTCACGCGCATCGCTGTTCAGCTGCGGCGGGTTCGTGAAGTTGGTGACCTGGGTTTGATCCCCGACCTTGGCTCGCCAAATAGCGCTGTGACTTGCGTCGCGAAGTGTGCTCAAACAACCCCAGTGACCGACACGGCGTGGAGAAGCCTTCACCCGGCACGGTTGACAATATTCTAATTCAAATGCTCTAACTTCTTCCGTGAAGTTAAATGCGGTAGAGGACGGCACACACCAAGTGCGCTCTTCCATTGCTTTCCCCTTACTGAGGGTCTCGAGGTTTTGGTTAAAAAATGTTTTATTTTTTTTAAACGACCACCACAAGCAAGAATTGAGGAAAAACAAGACAGCAGGAGAGGGCACCACGTGCATCACAAAGCACCGCGACGTGGGGAAGCTTGGCAGAGTTGCTGGAGCACCCCTCCGCCGTGGACTCTGGCAGCCAAGGTGGATGCGGGGTTGTTTTTTTTTCTGAATGGTCCCGGGAACAAACTCAAACTCAGTCGCAAGGGCAAATTTGCCCTTTCGATGTTTAGAGATTCGTGGCCGGTACGGAGAGGGGGTGGACGGGGGGGGGAGACGGAGACCGCCACTCCATCGAGCCGCGCGACAGAAGGGACCGCGCGGTTGGAGCGGTGGCACGGTGCTCCCCGACGACGTTTAGGTTTTTCGTCACGTCGCCTTTTATCCGGCACCCGTGAATTGCATCGATCATTTTAGGAGAAGAGGTGGGGTTTCTGCATCGAGGGGTTGTTTTTTTTTTGTTGCCAGAACGATTCGCTACGGTCACACCTCGTTAGCGGAACAAGTGAACGATCTCCCGCCAGGTCGGGACGCGCATCCATTAACGCTGCATAGGCTCGGCTCGCGATTACAGGGGACATCAATCAACCCAGATGTTAATTGTGCAGGGGGAAGGGGGAGGCAGCTGTAAGCGTGTGTCTGTGTGCGTCTGTGTGCGTCTGTGCGTGTCCATGTGTGTCCGTGTGTGTCTGTGTGCGTCTGTGTGCGTCTGTGCGTGTCCGTGTGTGTCTGTGTGTGTCTGTGTGCGTCTGTGTGCGTCTGTGTGTGTCCGTGTGTGTCTGTGTGCGTCTGTGTGCGTCTGTGCGTGTCCATGTGTGTCTGTGTGTGCGCGTTTGTGCTTGCGGGACCACTCATTCCCCGTTTCTTTTCCAACCTGGCACATAAAATATTTTAGTGTTCGTTAAATCTCGCAAGAGCATTTTTTTAAAACAAGGACTTAATTAAAGCCATCTGCTGCGCGCATAGTTTAGCGAGTCGTTCATGCGCCGTTGGACTTGCGGTCTGTCATACAGACATCACAGTTCCTGAGCCGTATTTGTTTGATCGCTGTCTCGCGTTGCTTTGCTTTTTCTGCGGTTCATATATTTTTTTTACATAATTATTTTTTCTGCAACGTTTAGATTTGAGTGCCCGCCAAACAAATGTAACCATTTTGGTCCCCCCACTTCTCTCCCCCCCCTCCGCATACAGATCGCAATAACAAATGTACGCATCACAAAAGAACCAAGCTCAGTGCAATAAGTTACAGTGCTTTTTATACGCTGTTTGATGCCGATTGGGTGTGAGCCCGAATCTTCTTAATCTTTAAAACGTTTGGAATCGTTCCAACAACAATCGATGGGACAAAAAAAACATGTTGGTAGGTTCAGCACCTTTTTTTACGCAAACGCGTTTACATTATTCGTGCATCCAACATCAAACATTTTCTCTTTAGCCAAGTTCATCGTGCATTGACACAAAAAAGGACAGCGAGCATTTCATTGCACACAAGCACGCAGCGCGACAGAAAGTTTTGCGGCGAAGCAAACGGCGAATGGCGCTTTGCTTCGGACGGACGCTCACCTCCGTAGGCTGACTCGAGGAGGGCGACCAAGACGAACGCACAGATGAGGTTAAGCCGGCCGCTCATGGCTGCTCGCTGCGGTGCTGAGACGGCGCGCGTGATCGCTGTGCTCGTGCACGTGCGTCCGCCGGTTCGCCGCTGCGTCCGCGCGCTCTGGCTTGTGCAGCACACGCGCGAAGCCAGCGGGCGTTGAATGTGCTGCTCAGTAGCGCACGACTGCTCCGTACCAGAGCCGCAACGAGCTTTATCTGCAAGGACGCCTCCACCCATACCGCCCACCACCACCTCCGCCTCCTCTCCCCTCCCTCCATCCATCTATCCCCCCCCGCCGCCCCCGCCCCTTGCCACCCCCCCCTTTCCACAACAACTACCGCCACCCCTTGCCTGCCCTCCGCCTTTCCCCCCCCCAAAAAATCCTCCACCCACTGCTTCCTGAACACAAAATGATGCTTGACTTATCGGTCTGCCTGTCCCGCTGAATTAAATGGGCAGCGACAGCGGTTTTCTGTTATTCAGCACGGGAAGAACAGCGCCTCTTGGCGTCTCTGTTGCCCTCTCTGTTCACCAGCACATCACCAAAGAGATTGCCTCACCCTCCTGAGTTTGAGCCTTACCTGTTTGCGAGCCAGTGTGCCAAAGTGGCCTCTAATCTTTTGTTGTGTGTGCAGTCATTGAGTGTTTGTTCCATTCCCCCGTGAGCTCATGTTCCAATCATCCCGAGGAATGTTGCTTCATTGTAACATTGCAAGCGCAGAAACGCTTTGACCAAATCACCTGGAATGCGCCTGATCTCATCAGTTTGTAGAAAGCTAAGCAGGTTGAGCCTGGATATGGTGCCAGACCGGGGTGATCGCTGTCCATAAACAGGTTGTTGTTATTCCGAGGGGCTACATGGTGGTCGAGTGACCCCCATGACCCTTGCATTGTGATCAGTGGATTGACAAAATGGCTGTACATTATGTACAGCCATTTTATATTGAGCTATATCGGGGCCTTTCGGCAGTTTTATTTTTGTATTTTTTGTTTCACTGTAATGTAGACAATTGAGAGCAGGGTGTTATTCCCAAATGCTTACTGGGAGTTTTTGGTTTGTTTGTATCAGGTTATATTTCCAGCGCTTGGCACGTCTCAGCTCGTGGTATTTATTCACTTTTTATTTATGCATCAAATACGAGTCCAAGAGTGCAATCGATTCGATTGCAGTCTTGATTTCTGCGCTTGTTACCGGGGAGGGTGCACGCAGTTCGGTGTCGCAGCTTCCGCGCAATGTGTAGGACGCGGCAGCGAGACCACAGGAATGTTTTGATTTCGCCATTTGTGAATAAAAGTGATGCTGGCTGTGTGTCTCTCGATTTTCAATTAACCCCAAATTGGCGCTGACGTTAGAAGCAGGCGCCGTGTTAAAGTGAAATGCATGCCCTCCTCGTCCCCTGAACTAATTGAGAGCACAATTTCTCCAGTTGTCTTTGTCTGCCTACTCAGTTGACCTTTTTACGATGTTTGCCTTCTCAGTCAGTCGGCTTGTGTTCCTCCAGAAAGCTCTAAAGTTGCCTTTTAAAACTCTGCTGGATCACAAATTTCGCATTGTTCTTTAAAAGAAGCCACTCCCGAATCGCTGTATATATACACACATAAGCACAGCAGAGCTATGAACCCGATGAGCTGAGTTTGATTCCCCTCCATGAATTGTCGAGTGAAATCTGAACCAGTCCCAATCCTGCCCTTGGTCAACTCAGCCTTAAATAAGTATTTGGTGCGCTGTGTTAACATCGCCACTGGGGAGAGAAAGGTGGCTGGGGCGTGGTGCTCGCCACCCATCCCCTTTGTGTGCCGTGTTGGCCTTCATAGGTGCTCACTAACAGCACGTGCCCTAACGGTCTGCTCCGGCTATACGGGGGATCTTCGTCTTGTGTTGGTGTGTTCAGATACAGTCATGTGTGCCTGTGGCTGTTATCCTTCAGCGTTCGAAGCCCTACCACACCCTACGAGCAGAAGCTCCGTTATCTGAATTTCAAAAAATCCGATGTCTCATTTCTTCCTTTTTAATATGCTGTTGTGCTCTCACCAGTTGACATATTTCGGTGAGGCTATATACATATACACAGCATGTTGGGGTCATGCACGGCCTTAATGACCATGCTGCAGGCTCTGTTTGCTTTCCGATGGACACTGCTGTCTCCTCGCCCCTCCTGGACTCTGAACTCACAGACATCAGCTTGGTTCTGGCTGCTGGATCATTACCTGCTTGTTGTGCCACAATATGGAGATTCTACGATAAATCGTACGACGTGCAGATAATTGGTATCGTCCGTGTTGAACACACAAATGGCACGGGCACAAAATTAACAATACACGTCCCATGACGTGTCGTTGATTGCACGATTGGAAATATAGTTGCGTGGAAAAAATAAAAAAGAGAAATAAAGCGTGAATTGTAATCCCACTTGGCGTCTCCGCTGAGCTTAATCGGACAGACCTCGATCGTCCAAACTGTTGAAAGGAAGCAGTTGTCCACGGCACGTGTGTCCGCGGGCGTGCGATGTGGAACGCACGCTTGCGTAGAGGGTGCGCGTCCGTGCGCCTGTGGCGGCCGTGAAGCCATAGAAGGGCCCGGCCAAGATGGTGTAACAGCGTCTCTAAACCATTGTCTTTGGCAAAACATGCCCAGTGTAATTATTAGCACAGAGACGAGTTCCAACTGGGCCATGTGACCACCCAAGCAGATGTGAAGCTTGCATTTTTTTTCTATAAAAATGTTTCTCAAGTGTGGGTGCTTGTCTCGAGGGTAGCTCTTCGACGCGTTGTCAGGTTGTACCCCTGCCCCCCCCCCCCCCCCCACGTGCTGCTCGGCGATGCGTTCCCACGTATTTGCTCCACTTGCTTGGAATCCTGTTCAGCGCGTGGAGCGAAACGTCGGGCACCGTGCCGAACAGTGCACGGTATGACCCGACAATGCATGGCAGGGCAACACAGCGCGTCCTTGAAAAACTTCCCGTCATAACATTGTTTTTTATGGTCACAACATCGGCAGTATGATGGCCATATCTTGCAAACACCGCCCCTTGCGTTCAGTGGGTCGTACGACATTTCATCGTGTTGGGTTTATTGTATTCTTTAATTGCGGCTGATGGCACTGCCTTGTGGGTTATATTCATAACTGTGCATGAAAGCCTTGCTAATTTTACCCTAGCAGTTGATCCGCTAACAAGCTACATGGACATCCGTACATCATGCTACGCCCATCTGTCCCGATTTGGATAATCCATATCGATGCTCTGTGATGAAGTGGATTCAATCCTTACTTGGCTACCTTTTGCATACCATTAGAGGGAGTTGTGGGGGGGGGCAAGACTCATGCAAATGATGCCTGTAAATCCAGGCAGTTGTAACCCACCTGCCAAAGTGGCCTCATCACATGGAAGAGGTAACGCTAACCTCCGAGGGAAGGCAACAGGATGTTGCAATGTTTGCAGTCTGGCGTGGTGAGGCATTGCCGTATTCTCACAGCTGCACCTACGTCGTTTAGCCTCTGTTCCCATGCGGGACAATTGCGACAAGCGTGATTGTGCACCCGGTACCTGTAGCACGCCCTGGCACGTGGGAAAAACCACACAGCTGTATTCCGGCGCGACCCATGTGTGCAATGGAGCCGCGGATCCATTTTTTGGCGATCGTTTTTCCAGGTCGGTGATAGACCATGGGTAGGCACACGGCTAAGCAGGCACAGCCATCGTGGGAGGCTTACCGGATGTCGTGTGCCGGGTTACGTAAATAACTTCCGGCCTCCCGATAGCACGTTAAATGTTTTTATTATGAGTGCTTGTGGGCACAGATTGGGCCATCTCTGCAAACGCACCGTCAAGGCCGAGATAAACTGTTTAAGATACGTTAAATAAAACATTCCTTTGCGCTGTAAATCGTCACTTGTTACTTGGGCGCTAGGGGTGGTTGCACAGTGGTAAAACGTTTGACTCGCAGCAAGAAGTCCCCGGGTTTGATTCCCAACACGGGGGCACCTTTCTCTGGAGGTTGTATGTCCTCCCCCCGTGTTGTCCGCGTTTTCTCCAGCATATTCCCGCAGCTAAAAACATAACGATGCAAAAGGTATTGGCCAGTGGTGGTGCGCGCCTGTAATCCGCCACTGTGCAGGTGAGGGTTTGTGGGATCGCTACACAAGCATTGCGAAACTCCCTTCTCCCTGGGCGCCGAGGTGCCACCATACCCTGGCTGGTCAGGAGAAGGCAGTACAGCAAGCTGATTAATCGCCATCTCTTTCCATCCATGGACATCCCTACATCATGCTATGTCGAACCGTCCCAATTTGCATTATCCATTTCGATGCGATGTGATGAAATGCATTTAATTAGAGGGCGGTGGTGGGGGGGGGGGCAAGACTTATGCAAATGTTGCCTGTAATCCCGGCAGTTGTGAACCCACCAGCCAAAGCGGCCTCGAAATACGCACAGCTCATCATTAATTGGTTGAAAACATATTGAAATGGAAACCCAATGCAGGACCCTCCTGAAAAAAAAGAGTCCCACACGGAGTTGTAGCCTCAGCGTGGCCCTTCCGGATAAATTAATAGGTAAATAATAAAAAAATCCCCATGTAGCAAAATTCTGTTCAAATGACTCAATTGAGATACCAAAACAGGAGCGTTGTCCACTCGTGAGCAAATTTTCGCTGGACCCTCCTGAAAATAATAGTTTTGAGACTTGGCTAGACTCACCTGGGTAAACAAGCGTCAAGATAACAACATCGTAAGTCCTGTGTCTTGCCTTTAATGCCGCAGTATGTTTTCAGGCTTGCAAGCGGCAGTGTGTTTTTCACACTCGGTTCACCCTTTCAACTGATGTCTGCTTTGCCAAGAGACGCTCAATAATGCCGTCCCGTCTCGTCCGTCAGCATCACCGGTCATGAGCAACCCTATTGGGTGAAGTCCTCCCATAGCCAGTGCCACCGCACGCCACCTCCTCCCGTCGCTCCCCCGTCCCTTCCCTGCCACTTTGTCATTGCGCTCGTTTGCCGGCCTTCATTTCCTTCTCAGCGACGCGCCCGGCACTAGCCAGGTCGCGTTGCTTAACGCGGCGCTCTTGCGAGTGTTGTAAATGTACGGTATCTGTGGGCCATCGCTCTCTGTGCGCTCTAATTTGTTCACAGCCTGCGCTTGTTTTGACGGCGACGTGGCCCAAACCGCACTGCCAAACCACTGGCAATTGACCAGGTTCAGACTGCAAGTGTCTT